AGGTGTGACAGGCTAGGATTCATCTTTCACGTTATTAGAATTAACTTTAAATTCTGTCCGATATCTGAAGTGTTTAAAACCATGTGAAATGTAACACTCGTCCCTCTGTATGTTCTGATATCATCACCATAACTGCTGAAGTTTGACAGTGTAGAAAAAGACTCCATTTTCCACGCTGTCCTGATTTACTGAGTCTCTCTGCGAGCTAACACACTGCCACAGATTTCAGTCCCACACCCACCACCTGAAACACCCAGGCACTCACTCACTGCTGTTCATCTCCAGCAATTAGATATAAAAATATAGACCAATCATGAGCTCTCTCTGTACTGGAGGAGACGCGCTAAGAGGGGCCGTTGTTACTAGGGAGAGCAGGAGAGAGTGGGCCATATAAAACCGGCTTATATAAACAACGAGGGGCTTCAGATCTGAGCAGCTGATCGAGTCGAGAGCAACATGATTGTCTGTGTGAAGAGAAGATTCGTTTTAGGAACAAAGCCTGGCTGTTTTTTTACAAAGACTGTTTTTTAGTTGTGTGCAACAAGCTGCTTGTAACTGGAGTGTTTTGTTTGGGAGCTGCAGCACTTTTGCTTTGACCTTTGACCTCTTTACAACTTGTCGCTTGTAACAGTGGTGATCTTTGAACTCAAGTCAGGACTGTGTTCACACCAACACTTTTTTTGTTTTCCCTCACCTGGCATCTGATGTTTTCAGAACGATGTACTCTCATTCTTTCTACATGATCCACAAAAGGTCTAAAATACTTAAATGCTCAAATTAACCCTTTGAAACCTGGAGTGATGTCACTTTTCTCGTGCTGCTCTCACACACCTCTCCCAGGTATTCAAACCTTTGAACCCTGAGCAAATTGATGCAATTTCTTTAAAAAACACGGGGAAAAAAGCAACGAGCAACTTGGTAAGAAATGTCCCACAAATTGCAAAACAGAAAAACAGATTTAGAAAATTATTTAAAAACAAAAACTCGGAAAAACACCACAAAAGATAATAATGATTCTTATTATTACATTTTAATATTATGTCACAAAATTATTTAAGCACTCTTTCAAGGTCATTTTCTCGTTTTTTGGTTGTTTTTGATCTTTTATTGAACTAACTGACTTGTTCTTAATTTTCTCTTTTTACTAATTTCTTGCTGATTTTTTTTTTTTATTTTCAATTTTTTGGATAATTTCTTCTTTCGTTGCTCATTACCTTCTTCCCGTGTTTTTAAAAGAAATTGAGTCATTTTGCTAAGGTTTCAAAACATTAAAACATCAGCACTCAACATTCAGGCCTTACTTTTAGAAATACATGCACTTACTTACAAAAGCCCCTGTTTTAATTTTACAAACGAAACCAAAGTTGTAAACGTGTTAAATGTTACCTAAAGAAAAGCAGCTGTACAACAACTTTTCAAAATAAAATTATGTAAAACTCAATTTTTATTCTTAGTTTTCAATGGTCAGTGATACAAACGTGTTTTACTCTGTCCCCCCCCAAAAAATGTTTTTTACGCACAGTGGTTTTAATTCCTAGCAAGGAACTTTTTTTTTTCAAATAAAAAACAACTTTCCAGTAGTTTTATTTGAAGTAAATGAAAAATTAATTTGAACTTTTAAAATGACACAAAATGTTACATATTCATCAAACAAACTATGATTCAAAGCTGCAGGATTTGTCCTGCATAGAGAATTAGGCGGCGGCCATCTTGAGGTGGCAACATCTTTGCCACCACAAAAACACAAAAGGGAACAAAACTCCTTTCCCTGCCACCCTATCATGTTTTCATATATTTGTATATCGCCAGCTGGCGAGTTAAAACTGCAGTCAGCGTTCACGTACCTCTACATGTATGCCCTAAGGCCGTCTTTATGGCGACTACAACGTTTACACCAGTAAAATATAAGGAAATTAAACAGGTTTAAATCAACTTTTTCCCACTTTACTGAACACAGAAGTTTAAATAGACACCTGTAAAACATGATAGTTCAGCACAGTGCACCTGTAAACATGAGAGCCACATATACCGATAAAAGCATTTAAATTAGTAGGTAAATACTCATTATAAAGTGTCCTGATTTGTTGCGAGCAAAATCAAACATATTTCCAGGTGTGGGTACAAAAAGACTCGAGGACTGATACCCAGCTCTAGTTGTAATCGTCATTTTCCTCTATCATCAAATTTTTACACCTCCAACAGTAGATGATGCCAAACAACCGCCACTCCACCCAGCTTGGTCTTGGCAAAGTGCTGGAAACATCACTAAGTCCAAATTAGTAGAAAAAACTTCTGCACACACTTAGTGAAAGTGAAAATGTGTTTTCTACCAGTTAGAACTCCAACAGTAAAACACATAGCTTGTAAAACACCAGTTGACGGCACGGTGCACATGCAGGTGCACTGCTGTGTAACTGTTTACAACTTCAATGTGTTGTTGTCATATATAAAAGCACACCTGGAATGAGAAAGTCAGAACATCACTCTCACCTCAGCAGTGATTCAGCGATGAGAACCTGGTTGTCAGGCGGTTGTTTTGTTTGGAGGCGTCTTCCTCGAGGTGGTTCAGCGCTGCGCAAACAAACTTCTACAGCAACTATAACAAACCAATCATCTCTCATTTCATCATTACATGTTTATCAGAGGAGATAAAAGAGGCAGAAATGACCAGTGGGTCCTCTCTTCTCTGTGTGGATGTGTTTTAACCTGCCGCTGGGTGGAGTTAAAATTATATGGCACCAAATAAATTGCACTTAATCAGCTTTGATATGCTCCCCTGTGATTGCCAAAACGTTATAATGAACCTTTTTATTGCTACATGCAGCGCGCCGTGCATTCCACCTCAGTTAAGATGCAAATTACCTCATTTTGCCCACCTCAATCTTGATCATTATACGAGCTTGGCGCCACTTTACTTTTCCGATCGTGTAGAGTTAGATGCTGTTTGTGTGTGGTGACATAAATCAGTATCTGACACTGGGCTCTGCAGTTTATGTGCAGTTTTCCTGCCAAAACAGTGCCAGAGTTTTAGTCCCAATACATTTTCTGATACCTGGGGTGTTTTCATTTAACAAATTAGACAGGAAGGAAGCGAGCATTTTATTTTTATTACAATCATAACCTTTAATTAAACAGGAAAGGCCTTTGAGAGAAAGCTCTTTTTTACAAGGATGTCCGCAGTTCATATGAAATAGTAGAAGAACATGAAAGTAAAACTATGTATTAGCAAATTATTCAAGAAACAGGACAAGGACATCAACATCTGCTCATGGACGAGAGAGTCGTGTTCATGACAGCGTAAGATTAATGGCGTCCTCCTTGGCTGAGCTGTAACGTTAGCTAGCTCAGTGGTACTAGGTGAGCTAACAGTAGATGCACACTTCCTTCTTGTTGTGAGGAGTTTCATGTAGGAACTATTTTTTTTCAACCTAACTACACCCGCCAACTGAATCACTGTGCAGAAGGAAGCGTGCATCTACTGCTAGCTCACCTAGCACCACCGAGCTTGCTAACGTTACAACTCAGCCGAAGAGGATGCCATTAATGTTTGCATATCCTACCGTCAACAGCACGAACCTCTTGTCCATTAGTAGATGCACACTTCCTTCTGTGCAATGATACAGGTTTAATTTGGTGGAAGGATAATAGTCCCTACATGAAACTGAAACTATTTTCTTTCCACCGAATTACACCCCTGTCACTGTGCATTAGCAAGCATGCGTCTACTCATTGAGCTGTAACGTTAGCTAGCTCAGTGATGCTAGTTGAGCTAGCAGTAGTTGCACGCTTCCTTCTGCACAGTGATTCAGTTGGCAGGTGTAGTTAGGTTGAAAGAAAATAGTTCCTACATGAAACCGCTCACAACAAGGTCTGTGGATTATCTTGAGTAAGCAGGTCATGATTTCTGGAAAGAGACGTTACTGTTGAATTTTTCGCAAGCATTTTTTGGCGCTTTAAGACCACAAGTTGTATTCAAACACAATAAAATCGCAATCTCCCATATATTTAGAGTTTAGAAAAGTCTCTTAGTGTCGCAAAGTGAAAAACCAGGCCATTTATCATCGCTCATGACAAACTGGATACGCAGGAAGTCATTGATATGTGGGGTAAATATGGAGGGAAATGTCTGTAGTCAAACCTGGTTGTTGAAGTTGAGCTTATACTGGCTACCGCGATGGTTTCATGTTATTCTCGGTTGATTTAAACCATCAACTCTGTCTGTGTTGGCGCTTTGCTCAACCCACGGAGGACAGCAACACTGTGAGCAGTGAGGATGAGCTCTTCCTTCCAGCTCTGTCTCATCCAGGTCACACTCTGCTCTGCGAGCCACAGAGGCAGAGCCTGCTGGGTCACGCTTCTTCTGTTCCTTGAGAACAAGCTAAAGGGCCTTTCCTATGTCGCCCTTCCTCGTCTGTTCCACGTCTCTTATTATTTCCGGCCTGGCTCCGATGGAGTCGGGGCTGGATATCCTGAGAGGGGGAAGCGAGGGAGGGAGGGAGGGAGGTAGGGGGGACAGAAAAGCATTTTACCAAGCAGGAAAAGTGAAAAAGCATTTGGTTTATCAAGCCCTCGCAGACCTCGCTCCTACACCCTCTGTTTGTGCTCGCTTCATTTTCCTATTCTTTCCCCCTTTTTCCTCTTCTCTTTTTTCTTCTTCCACATTCTTGGTGGAACAGAGTGAGGTTTGACTGGAGGTTACACCTTCCCTCTGATGTGTGCTAACAACAGGCATTCTTCGAAGCCTTGTGCGCTGTCTTATCTCACTAAACGCCGGGTTGTTGGGTCAAATCCCATAGCCGGACTCAGCCCTGCTCCTTGGAATGTCATTCAGAATTTTTGTTATTTAGGCTCTCCTATCTAACTGACCTAAATACCTGACCTTTTGAGTGTTTCTTTTTTCTGCACTGCTAAAATAGTAGTCGATTAGTCAGTCGACTGTTCAGTAAAGAACTCAACAGTGGCGCTGCTCTAGCAATGATTTGTTTGTCTTTCTTTCTCAGATGAGGAGCTGCTGATTGAGCGCAGCATCCACAAAGGGATGATCAACCCCGGAGAGGAGAAGCAGCCGGTGGAGTATAAAAGCTTGATCGCCAGCCTTGAGTACACCATCCGGGTACGCTGCGATGAACACTACTACGGCAGCAAGTGCAACAAAGTTTGCCGTCCCCGCGACGACTACTTCGGCCATTATGTGTGCGACCAGTTGGGGAACAGAGGCTGCATGGAGGGCTGGACGGGGCCCGACTGCAAAACAGGTACACGGAAAGACATCGATCATACCTAAAACAAGGGCTGCAACTAACCTGCTGATTATCTTTATGGTTAATCGATTAATTGTTTAGTCTATAAAATGTCAAAAAAAATGTGACTAACAGTCCAATACCCAAATATTCTTCATGTACTCGCAAAAATGACAAAGAAAGGCAACAAATTTTCACATTTAAGGAGCGGGAACCAGCAAATATTGGACATTTTTACTTGAAAAATGACTGAAACAATTAATCAATTATCAAAATAGTTGGTGAATAATTTTCTGTAGATTGACTTAACTTTAATTGGCCAGTCATTGAAGCTCTACTGTGAACACATGCAGCAATTCATAGGCTAATGAGGCTCCTCATTTTCACTTTTTACTGATTTATACTGAAAAAAAATAAACAAATAAATAAATAAAATAAAATATTATCAAAAATATTACCAATATCATAACTAAAAATTACCAATAAATAATTCAAATGGAGCCAAAAAATAATTGTAAAGCATTATTATTTCATGTGTGGATTGTAGTTTATGTATTTTATCGTGCCCTCCGTATTTACGTTGCATTGTGTATGTGTATGAAGGGTTTTAAACTGTACATTTTTAATTACATTTAAGGTCTACATTAAAAGCCCAACTAGGGACAAGAGTTGAAAATTAGCAATAGCTATAAACTCGACACATTAGTCCCATAGTCTGTATCGGACTTATGTTAAATTGCATCGTCCTTATCGAATAAAATAAAAAATAAAAATGAATAAATAAATACAGTTACGTTAGTTTAACTGCTGGTTAGCTAGCTTAAAAAATAATATTTTTTGCTTTCCTTTCATTGAATTAAAAATATCAGAACTCTGTTAATTTTACTGTTCTACGCATCTTTTCATAACTAAGTTTGTTTTCAGTTCCTTTGTTAATTAACTAGGCTCAGAACATGATTCTGAAAACAAAAAATTCAACAGGTTTTCTCTACGTTGGTAACTTTTATTTAAAAAATAAGTGTTATGATACTCAAGCAGCACTAAATGAGACAAATAAACTAGGAAGTTTAGTGTTTTTTTTCCTCTTGTGTATGTATATAATTTGATTAATTAACACTCAGTGACACTTTTTATGTTAGAAAAAAAAGCAAAAAGGTTAAATAAAATATTAATGATAAAAGAAAACATGTTTACAGCTGCGTTAAATGCCATCAGAGGTACTAAAGGAGGAAGAAGATGATTTTCTTTGTCATGTAATACTGTTAAGATGTAGTGACAGTTTCATCAAATATGACAAAAGGTTGTTTTTATAAAAATAACCTACTGTAACTTTAAATGCAAAAGCGTTAAATGGTTAAACTTGAGTTCCTGTGCTGCAAACACTGTGTTTAAAACATAAACCTCTCTCAGAATTCACATCTTACTCACCATATCTCAGTCTCACTTTTTTTTTTAAGAGTTAAATTGAATGTTCAAACTGCGGTCACGTGGACAAAGCTTTCTCAGACTCTACCTCCCCGCTGTCCTTTTCGGAAAACGTTTGGAAGTTCATTGCAGTTCATGTCAAGTGTCACTTTGTAAGAATCCAAAGAATGTTTGGAAACTCTCGTCACTGCTGGAGACACCTTCAATTTTCCAAACAACAACTTGCCATCCATTGTTACTGCTGCAGAGATTCTCGTCCTTCTTACAAACAAGAAAACACAGGAAATGAGATTTTAATGATTTGACCATCTGCACAGCGAGGTGCCAGACGAGAACTCAGAGACGATTGGACGTTAGTGGTTTTTAAAAATTGCTGATGAAATGGTGACAGATTGTGGAACTAACACAAACTTGTCACTTTCTCTTTCCTCTCCCCAAAGCCATCTGCAAGCAGGGATGCAGCCTCCAGCATGGGACGTGCAGCATGCCGGGGGAGTGCAAGTGAGTCGGCTCTACGAGCTTTTGTTGTTTGTTTGTTTGTTCCACCTTGTTCGCCACAGAGAGCGCGGCTGTCAACTGATGTAAAATATGCTCTTGTTTGGATGGAAAGAGTTTAATGAGGTTAACAGTGGTGACACAACACAGTGATGAGGCGGCGAGGGAGGGAGAGTTGTTGATAACATACCACCGCCCCATCCTAGTTCTGTGAAGTGCCCCCCCATCCCTCCACCTCCATCCCTCAGCTCCACTCTGATCCAGAAGCCATTGTTCTGCTTCCTGTTCTAAAGCTGGCCTGCTCCTGCCTGCACACACACACACACACACACACAGAGGCCTGTTTTTTTGCTATATGTTTCCTCCCTCGTCGTCCTCCAGCAGCACGGAGGCACTGTGCCCCTTCTCCCTCCCCCTGCACCTCCCCTCTAATATCTACAACCCCCATCACCTCTTCCTATCCCGGGCCTTGTTATGGCTGGCACTCGCCGGACTCCACGCAACGAGCTGCAGACAAAAGGCAGGCAGAGAGAACGCAGCTAATCCGACACTTTAAAAGGGTAGAAAAACTCCCAAAGTAAATACATATATTAGTTACATAAATTGTCCCTAGGTGTGAATGGTTGTCTGTCGGATGATAGTCTAGTGACCTGTCCAGGGTGTACCCCGCCTCTCACCCAGTGTCAGCTGGGATAGGCTCCAGCCCCTGTGACCCCTAACAGGATAAACAGTTAAGGAAAATGAATGAATGAATTTGCAGATAAAAATCTGTGCTTGGCATGATACGGCTTTTACTTGGAATGCTGTTTGTTTTGGCACTATTTGGCTTGCCTGCTAGAACCTGTGATATTTTCTCGTAAACTTACCCAAACCCAAACTGACCCTCGCAGTGGAGGACAGTCCAGTTACTCACAAAACTGTAAAATGGACGCATAGTGGACTATGAGCTTTTTAAAAAAAAAGGCTTGCTTGTTGAACAGGAGAGGAGGCTGCGGAGGGAAATGTAGATTTGATTACATGTGGAACTGAAGTGTACATTCAGACAGACACACACACACACACACACACACACGCACAGAGGAATATGGAGAGGGCAGAAGAGGGGAGGGAGGTGAGGGGTTTACACAGAGGCAGGTTTGATATAGTTAAGATCTCACACAAAAAAAAAGAAAAGAAAGAGGCTGACATTTCTCATTGGAAATGGCTGGAGGATTGAAAGAGAGAGGAACACCCTGGAATGTGCCTCAACATGTGATTTGGAGCTTCATCGCAATCAGGGGCACACACACACACTCACACTGCTGAGAAACAGGAAGACAAACATCCATCCAACAAGCAGATGGATGCAAAGAGAATAAAAGATGTTTTTTTCATCGTGGATTCATAAAAGTCCTCATTAATCACAACTTGACACACTGACATCATCACTGTAAATTTACAGCTGTTAGCGCTAAAGCTAGTTAGCATCAAAACATAAAATATCAGCAAAATCATGGATTAGAGATTTTATAATTACTAGCTTCTTTTTTTTTTTTTTTAACGCTTTCAGCTACATTTCATAGACATCATCAACAGATGTTTGCTCAGTTGTCACTAAGAAGGCTTCAGGCTACGTTCAGACTGCAGGCAAATCAGATTTCCTTCTCAAATCAGATCTCTAAGACAGACTGTCCACACGTTATTTACAAGTGATTTGTGTCCAGACATCACCAACCTATCTGCATGGGTTGCTGTGGTAACAATGTAGGAACCGGCAACGTTGTAGGTGCGCTGGAGATGCGGCTTTCCAACGCAGAAGCATGAGAAAGAGGTCCATCATTTCGCCCGCCAAACAATCACACTGTCAGGTCATGGTTATTTAGTGGTGCAGTGGTTAGTATTCCCGCCTCACAGCAGAGAGTTTGCATGTTCTCCCTGTGTCAGCGTGGGTTTTCTCCAGGTGCTCCAGCTTCCTCCCACAGTCCAAAGACATGCAGGTTAATTGGTGACTCTAAATAGTCCGTAGGTGTGAATGTGAGTGTGAATGGTTGTCTGTCTCTATGTGTCAGCCCTGTGATAGTCTGGTGACCTGTCCAGGGTGAACCCTGCCTCTCACCCAGTGTCAGCTGGGATAGGCTCCAGCCCCCTGCGACCCCTAACCGGATAAGTGGTTAAGGAATATGAAATAAATGAATGACTAAATGAATTGTTCTGCATGCGCAACACTGTGCTGGCAGCAGCATGGATACCTGTCAGCACTTCCATCACTCTGGATTTGACATCATCGTTGTGTTGCGAGTGACACAAAAGACACTTTGAAATCTGATTTGAGTGGCCAGAGCATAGAGACAGAGACATATCGAACCACCTGCATGTGTGGTTTGACTAGCATTTGCTAAAACTGCATTTCATGTGTCTCTTTTCCTTTTTTTATTTTGGCTATCCAGACTTTCAACAATCAATCTGGATGTGCCAAAAAATACTTTTGTTTTGGCAGTCTGAACAAGGCCCAGTCAAGTATTAAACTTGAACCATGCACGACTGTCAACAGTCGGTCATATCTGGTCACAGTCATATATTTTGAAAGCTTCAGAAAAAAAACCTTAAGTTGAGATTATTTTTTCAAACAGCTCGTCTAATTCCCATCCAAATATGGGAAAAAAAAGTGTCAGAGCTGATAGAAATGATTTCCAAAACTACAAAATAATACCCAAGTTTTAAGTTATCCTTAAGTTAAACAATACAATCAAATCTATACAACATACTCTAAACAAATGAGGGTAAATGTGATGTCAGAGAACGTGAAAGAGAGACAGAGAAGCAGAGCCTGAAGGGTTAACGACAGAGAGAAGCAGTGAGAAAAAGAAAGGGAGAGAAACAGCCTGGCAGAGGAAAACTAAAAATGTGTGTTTGGTATCTTGTTTCTTACACACAGCGCATTCACAACCTACGCTCCCTCATGTGACACTACTAAACATGTAGCTAGGCAACAGCGGGCTAAGTCCGTCCGCTGGATTTGGGCGCGAGGCCTGCCTGTAAATAATTCAGCGGTCCCACACACACACACACACACACACACACACACACACACACACACACAGGCCCCTCTACCTCTACCCCTGCCCACCGTCCCGTCCTCTGGGTGTGGTTTGTCTGAGGGGCAGCAGCAGAGCGGGGGTTTGTGGGCAGGCGGGATATTTTCGGCTCCGGCTGGCCCCCGCGGCCCCTTCCATTGATGGGACGGCAGCAGGCCGGCGACGGGGCTTGTGGGTAATGCCACCCTTGGCCTGTGGCTGCTCGAAACCATTTCCCTGCTCTCCCACACTGCAGCCAGACAGACTGTCCACGCTGCCACCGCTGCTGCACGGCTGACAGTGTGCAGGGCACCACCGCCGACCGCAGTGCCGGACAACACCACATACTGTAGTAAACAATAACAGCGCTGTCACACACACACACACACACACACACGCACAGGCACATAACTGGGCTTCACTCAGCGAGCAGCATCAGATTAAAGTTGTTGCGGTCGTGCATGCAGTTAAAGGCGTTTCAGCTTACAAATTGTGCATGAAGCAAAACTTGTGCATGTTTTAACACAACCAGACTTTTATCCTGGCTGCATTTTTATCATGTGAGTGTCTGATGAGTCCCTCATATCTACCCATATAAAAGATCCCCATGTCACAATAGGTGTTGTAAAGGCCCCATATTCTAAAAATGTCTGCATCTGAAAAATTGGACTCACAAATTCAAAACTATCTGCATGAATGAAAAACAGTAGAGATCAATAGAGTCCGGCAACTTGAAAGACAATATAAACCAGAGGTGTGGACTCGAGTCTCATGACTTGACTCACAAATGTAATGACTTTAGACTCCACTTGACAAATTCAGAGAACACTTGCAACTTGACTTGGATTTTAACACCATTCATTCAGTCATTCATTATCTGTGAGCCCTTCTCCTGGTCGGGGTCGCGGGGGGGCTGGAGCCTATCCCAGCTGACACTGGGTGAGAGGCAGGGTTCACCCTGGACAGGTCACCAGACTATCACAGGGCTGACACATAGAGACAGACAACCATTCACACTCACATTCACACCTACGGACAATTTAGAGTCACCAATTAACCTGCATGTCTTTGGACTGTGGGAGGAAGCTGGAGCACCTGGAGGAAACCCACGCTGAAACAGGGAGAACATGTAAACTGCACAGAAGGGCTTTGAACCCCCCCACCCTGGGTTTGAATCAGGAGCCCTCTTGCTGTGAGGCGATTTTTTCTTAGACTTAAGCCTTTTGACTTGAAAATACTTGATACTTCTCCCAAGCCCAAAGATTGAAAAGTATGTTTTTTAAAAAGTGCCTTGAATCAGTTCTTTCCCTGAATCAGCTAACGTTAACACCAAATATTCCCAGCAAGTGGACACGTAATTGCTTACATCATGCACTTTATTTGAACCAATGCAACAGCATCGTGTCAAGTTGTAGGAGAGAACCATGAGGAGATACTGTAACGTTACTAAGCGCCAGTTGGAAAACATGCGGTGGTAAACAAAAAATTGATTTCAGTATGTTAACTGTGTGGGTCGAAAATTACAGATGGAGACACAACAAATGCCAACAAACTTGTTTTAACCAATAAAAGCAAACTGTAAAAAGATTTTGTAAATTTGCTGTACTAGTACTCAGTTGTTAAAATGGCATTACATTTGGTGAGGAGTGCTTTATGACTTGTTTAGGACTTGGAATTTGACTGGGGACTTGTCAGTCTTGACTCAGGGCTTGTCTTTCTTGATTAGGGACTTAAGTGCAAAGAAGTGCTGCGAATCATCTTTATTTTCAAAATCAATTAATCTGCAGATTATTTTTCAATTAATCTTTTGGGCTACAAAATGTCCAAGAATAGTGACAAAGGTCCATCCTAGTATCTCATAGTCCAAGGTGATGTCTTTAAATGTCTTGTTTTTCAGTCCAATTCCCAAAGTTCTTCAGTTTAATATGATATAAAACAGAGAAAAGCCGGAAATCTCCATATTTGCAAGGCTGAGAACAGAATTTTCTGCCATTTTTTTGCATGAAAAACTTCTTTGATTAATCAACCATCAAAATAGTAAGCAATTATTTTTCAACAATTAGTCAACCAATCATTGTAGCTGTGGTGCAAAGACTTGAGACTTACTTTTGACTTGCAAAGCACTGACTTGGTCGCAGCTCTGCTATAAAAAACAAGTAGAAGGTTCAAGTTTGAAAAGCCCAATGAGTAAAACTACAGTAGATGACACAAAGTGCAACAATCAGAGGTTTACTATAGTTCATGGTTAATCGCAGCAGTTGATTCCAAAAAAGGGCCGAGGTTCAGCGCCCTGCCCACCAGCGTGGTGCCTCCAGTCTGTCACTGTCTTCAGTTACTACTGCAGCTCACTACAGAGCAGCACACCACTGCTGCTAAGAGAAGTGTTTGGGTGGCATCCATTTTGAAGTGTTTGTGAGCCGGAGTGGAGGGACAGTGGTGGGGGTGGGGGTGAGGGTGGGGGGTGGGTCGCTCCCTAAAATAGCCCCGACGGAGAAATGACAGGACAGGTGGGGCAAGGTTACCACTGGCCTTGGAATAACAGAGTGCTGCCATAAACCAACAGATTAGCTAACCCTTCGCTGGCCTCCCCTTCGAGACGACTAACCCTCGTTCCACAAACCCGCCGCTCATTCCAAGTCTGACCTCTATGGAGCTCACGACACAGGAAGAGGGCTGAGAGGAGACACGCAACACATGACTCAAAAAGCAGCTTCTTAGTGAGTCCTTTTTGTCTGCAGTCTGAGCAGAGCTGAATATCTTTGTTTTCTGAGCAGTGCTGAAACAAAATCAGTACAAAATTATTGATGATCAGTTATTTGGTCAAAATGCAAAACTTTTCTGGCTCCAGCTTCCCTTTTTTTCACTCTTACTGGACAAAACAAGCAATTTAAAGGTGTCAACTTGGCATATTTCACATTTGATATTTTTTAGAATAGAAGAAGATGAGAGAAGTTGATCTTTATTGTCCATCAGGGTGGAAATTTGTCTTCGGCTCATCAAACACAAGACACAACATACAAAGCAGACAAGCAGTTAATTAAACAGACATAAAGATGTTGTTTCAGGATGCAGACACTAATTTCTAGTAAGTTCTTGAAGCAAGCCGATTTCGATTTCAAAAATCACTGGAAAAAACACAGTCCCTTTGAATTAAAAAAAATAAATCTTAGGATTCATTTAAAGACAGAAATGACTTCATAAGAAACATTTTTTTTCCAAAGTTACTCACAGCAACACTTAAAAATAGGCAGTACACTCTCAGAAATAAAGGCGACATCTAGAACCATATAGGGTTCTTTGGCTCGTCCCCCTAGGAGAACCCTTTTTGAATCCTGGTAGAACCTTTCAAAGGGTTCTACCAAGAACCCAACATAAACAGTTGTACCTGGAGTCATCTGTTACAGTTTCCACACAGAACTTGAAACAGGTTCCTGCACCTAATTTTGGAGCCCATCCCACAGGGCTCTAACTACAGTAATTGACTCCATTACCTTTAGACATCACTAGTACTACTCACGGTTTTAGTTTAACAGGTCAGCAGGGGGCAAAGAGAAGTAAGTCCAGCAGCCTCGGGCTTCATGAGGCTCCTAAACTACTGGGGCTAATTTGGTCCAGCAGAACCAACAACACACATGGTTCCCAATCAATTTTTCGGGGGTTAAATCTTCGTGAGAACACTACTACTACTATAGTCGTCACTGTTTCAATGGTGCTGTCGGGTTGGGAACTGAAACTCATAGGTCCCGTTTATACGACAACGATTTCAACTGAAAACAGTAAACTTAAGTTGCGTTTTGGCTGATCGTTTACAAGACAGCAGTGTTTTGGGTGCCTGAAAATGCAACGTTTTGAAAACGTGTTCCAGAGTGCAATTTTTTGGAAACAGCAACGTCTCCATTGTCGTGTAAACTTGCAATATGCCGTTCCTCTGAAAATGGAGACTTTTCGCACATGCGCATTACACTTCCAGTCACTAGGCATGCACAAGAAAGTCAACCATCACAACAACAATGGCGGACTCCCGAACTCTGCTTGTGCTGCTCACCCTGTTGAATTTATTAACGCTTCCCCATCATAGAGTAGATTTACTGTAGCAACTCCACCTCGTCGTCCGTCCAGACAAACGTTTGTGCGGTTGCCATTTTGTTTGTTTATACATCGCCACTCTGTAGAAGGAAGCGTAAGCGTCACACCACCAACTACTGGTCTGGCATGTATACTGCAGCGTTTTTGGTCATTTTTGTGGATCCGTGTGCACGGCGATTGTTATCAAAACGTTGTCGTCTAAACGCGGATTTTTTTTTTTCTTTCAAAACGAAAATGAGAAACGATTCTGTTTGCAGTGGATCGTTTTCGTATAAATATGGCCTGAGTCTCAAGCCTCATTTATACGTCCATTTCAAACGCTGTAAACGCCACTGCCCTCATACTTCCATGTGTTTTTTATGTTGGCGTAGATACAGCCAATAAAGGGGGGAATTAAAAGTTTTACACAACAACTAATGAGCAAACAGTGGTGGAGATTATAATGATGTACCTTGGAGCGGGGCAGCATTGTAGATGGCGGTGCACTGTGTGGCTGTTGTATACATGGCAACATATAGATGGAGAATTCTTGTCATTATATCACCAATTCGTTCCGCCATTACTTGAATTTCTTTGTCCTCTCCTACGCTTGAGAACTACCCTACACTGCCTCCACGATCTCCAGTGGTACTGCTCTGTTTCATCCGTATCCCTAAACTTTAAGAAAACGTGAACAAATATGGGCGAGATGAACGCAGACTACAGACAGAAGAACCCTTGAAGAACCCTTTCTTCTAAAAAGGTTTATTCAGAAGCAAATGGTTCTGGGAGGAACCTTCAGCCCTTCGGGAAGAACCCCTGAAGAACCCTCTAAAAGCATACAAGATAACTAGACTAGATATTCTCTTAGATTTTGGATGTCATGACATCGTTAAGTGTCGTCTTGACCTGGTTGTAAAGGCTGCTTTACAGTAAAGTGATGTCGTTTTCTAACCTTACCAGACTGTTCTAGCTGTTCTATTATTTGCCTTCACCCACTCAGTCATTATATCCGTGTTACTGATGATTATTTATCAAAAATCTTATTGTATAAATATTTTCTTAAAGCATCAATAGTCAGCCCTAGAATATCGTTATTTGGTGAAACATATCGTGATGTTTGATTTACACCATATCTCTCAGCCCAAAGATTACTTTACATGAATGCTTGCATGTCTTAAAAGCAGCATGACAGGACACACACGCAACACAAACACACTCTTGTTGCTGAGGAATGTCCCCTGGCTCTGTGTCCTAAGATTAGGCGCTGCAGCAAACGTGTCATTCACCTTGAGGAAGACGTTCTGTCCGGCAAATTACTGCTGTGACATTCAGCTGTGACTCAATCAACTCTCCTGTGTCTCCTGAACCTGTCCACTCAGCATGTGTCCTTTCTTTTTTCCCATGAGTTGAAATGGTTAAAATGCATTTCCCTTTTCTGGCACCTACAGCATTCTTGGTGTTGACTTGGGGACGTTTGACTGGCATACTGCCCGACATCAAGGGCTCCTCTGTGTTTTTTACACATAGTAAAAGTATTAAATTACTTGTTTGTTATCACTGCATAACTATCACTGTTTTTTCATGGCAACTCCCTGTGCGTTATTAAGTGCCTCTGTGTGCCTGATATTCCCTCAGGCTGGAGCTGTAAATAAGAACACATTCTCAGTGTGCTTGTGAAATAAGAGGCACTTATTTTACTGAAGAATCTACTCAGCCACTGTTGCACCCACTGAACTCTGTGCTCAGCAGACGGTCTTTTGATCGTCAGTGGTGGCACGAGCATTTGAGTATTTACTGAAATATTAGCAACATTAAAACAACTGAAGGAAATCTGAAACGATGGAGCACAGCTGTGTTGTTGTCGGACCCTGGTCTGAGTGCCCAGTGCTACGTTATGTTAAGCACAAGACTAACAATCAATCCAAAACATTGAGTTTAGTCTTACGAAAATGAGATTTCTCATTTAATAGATGAGCAACCATTTTAACTATGTGACGTTTATTTACAGTGTTTGATGGCAAAATACAGTGTGTACGCTAACTGAACCAAATGAAAAATGCACCAATCTTAAACTTCACTCCCGAAAGACGGGATGAAGGATGAAGTTTAGTTTGGCTGTTTGGGGAAAATACTCCCTTCTCTAGTTTGGGGTTTCAGGTCACGTCAAGAAGGAAGGAAAGAGGAAATGTAGGACAAGATGAAAAGAGGAAATGAAATAAGATAGGAAAGGGAAAAGGAGGATGGGAAGGAAGGGGGAAGAAAGAAGAAATGCATTACAGTATCATATTTCCTCCCAGGTGTACAGTATGTTTCACTGTTGAACTATAAAAACTAACCGTCCTCTCTGCTGTGTGTTGCAGGTGTAACTACGGCTGGCAGGGTCCGCTCTGTGACGAGTGTTTGCCGTATCCCGGCTGTGTTCACGGCACCTGCAACGAGCCCTGGCAGTGCACCTGTGAGAAGAACTGGGGAGGTCTGCTCTGTGACAAAGGTCAGATCTCTTTCTCACACATCCATCCATTGGATATCTACACTTGAGATGTACAGGGTGTTGTCCCCAACAACTCAGTTTCAAGTTTGCCACGTGTATTCCACGCTGTGTGGAAACAAATGATGGAAAACAAAAGTTGCAAAGACAGAACGTCTGAGACGCCACAGTATGATTTGCAGAACACATAAAAACAGAGCTATTGTTAAGTATTTTTTGATTTCCAGTGCGTGAGCTAAAAAAATCACCTTTGTGTTACGCCACATCAGTGGGAAGAGGACACCGTGTGATTTGTCAAGATGTAGGGGACGAAAGTAGAAGTGACATTTTCTGTAAATATCTTTCATTGTTTTCCTGGTAACCCGAAATCAGATGCTTTGGAAGAGAGAAATGAGTGAAATGGAGCCTGTGAAGTTTTTATGTACGACTGTTAAAGAGCACAAAGCTGCAGAGTGATGAGAAGTTTAACCATTTAAATTACATTTGATTAAGTTTGTGTCAGGTAAGTTTTTTGCATTGATGCACACAGAGTGGGTCACATCAGCGTTCTTTGCTTTGCAGATCTGAACTACTGTGGGACCAACCGGCCCTGTAAGAACGGAGGGACGTGTATGAACACAGAGCCGGACGAGTATAACTGCGCCTGTCCCGACGGCTACTCGGGCAAAAACTGCGAGATCGGTGAGTCTCTAAATCAGGGATACTCAACTTGCTTTGCCTGGGGGCCGCTTTGGAAAATGATAAGTGGCCAGGGGCCAGTCTCAAAAGCCCTGCACAGGTCAGGTGTAGGCAGCAGCAGTTCTTGGATTTGAGGACTTTTGGGGTTTAGCCTGGACCTCTGTTGGGCTTTCAGGGGACCCTCCACTTTTGGTCCTTTTTATGCACCCTGGCACCTTATTTACATTAAAGATGAAAAAAAGAATCCTTTTGGGAATCAGCTTATTTTCACTGCTCCAAATCAAATAAACTTGGTTCCAGAATCCAGGTTTTTGTGCCACTTCACTTTCAGTGCAAATTTCTGAGGAACCGGATGGATCTGATGAGATTTCTAATTATTTTTACTCATGTTTCTCTCTTAATTTTTCTCTTCAGCGGAGCACGCCTGTGTGTCCAACCCCTGTGCCAACGGAGGGACGTGCCATGAAGTCCCCTCAGGATTTGAGTGTCACTGTCCGGCAGGCTGGTCTGGGCCGACCTGTGCTAAAGGTGAGGGGAGTCTACAACCCGTTTAACTCTTCTACAGACAAGATGAGGCAACCGTATCGTCTGTTCGGTTGCATATAACTGATCACTGTTTTACAGAGGGTCTGTTTTCAGTGACCTAAAGCACAGTTTGCATGCGGACAAAAGGCTAAAATGCATAGAAAAAGCTACATTTTCAAATATACATCTGTACATTTGGACTAGGCCTTAATTTCTCCAGTTGTAGTTGTAGTTTTCTCCAGTGATCATGGCTGCAGTATTCATTGTGGTTCATATTTCAGACACAGATGAATGTGCCTCTAGCCCCTGTGCTCAGGGAGGAACCTGCATGGACATGGAGAACGGCTTCGAATGCGTCTGTCCTCCGCACTGGACGGGCAAGACCTGCCAGATAGGTAGGTGATTCATATGTTGGTGCTTTTCAAATGTTGAGCAGGGTTGTTTATGTATATGGGATTATTATTAAATATTAAGTGGCATTTATTAAAATTTGATTTGGAACATTAAAATGTCAATACTCTCTGAAATACTGTTTCAAAGTGTTGTTGCATGCTGGATGATATTTTGCTGTGATAAAGCCAGTGTGTTTCTGTGTGTTGCGCCGACAGTGAATGCCATGCGTCCGACTGTATTCCAGGAATCCCATTTGCTTGCAGAGTTACAGCATATCTGGGTGTTTGTTTATCCTGCTGTGTCGTTTAACCAGTAGTATGACTGCGGGAGGGCCACTAATTTCAAATGAGTGTGTGTTTGTGTATACGCACACCGAAAGGAGACACTCGCTGGGTATCGTCTACAACTCGAGCCAGGTGACTTGAGTAAAGCTAAAAATAACCTCCAGCCTGGCAACTGCTAGCCTTGGGACAAAATATACTCCACCAGGGGGTTATCTTTGGCTCCAGACTGGGCGTAACCGGGTTGTATGTACGCTACGGTGAGGCGACACCCCGACATAGCGGAGCCCTCACCCCCTTCGACCTCAGCCAGGAAACACTTTATAACCTGTAAACATGCGCAGGGAGCAGCCGAAATGATTTGGTTTGTGTTACTGATTCTGTCATTCTCAGCACGCCTCCCCTTTCAGGGAGCAGGGTGGTACCTGGGAGAGAGCAGCGTGAGGAAGAGGAGGAGGAGGGCTGGTGGTGGTGGGGGAGGTTGGGTTTTTGGGAATGGGTTGGGGTGTTTAGTTTCAGCAGCCCAACAGGTGCCGCTTACCTCCTGGGAGTAGTATTAATGCACTGTGTCGGTTTATAGTGAGGGAGGCGGCGCGGCGATAGCTGCCTCTGAAACTGACCACTTGGAATGCCGCAGGTTGGCCTTCAGGGAATGCAATAGAGAGACATTAACCCTGAGGGAGGGGTGGGGGGGTGAGGATAGAGCAGTGGAAGACATGAAACCCTGTCAGACATGAGCTTCACCCTGTAAATGTTCTGGCAGTTTTACATGTTTGAAAAAGACCTTGAGTCGTTTACCCATAAAAGTCATAAAAGCAATCTGACAACATGGTGCCAAGTAACGTAACTTAATCCAGTCACATTAAGATAAAGGCTTCACCACACACACAGGCTCAAATATGCATATTAGAGACTTTTAATGTTCCACACTGTAGTAAACGTCTCTCTCAGTTATCATTCCTGATGCACGAGGAGATAAAGTCCTTTTAATAACCCATGAAACTCTGTGAATGAGCCTGTTTTAATTTGTAGTTCTTCTGACGTCAGATGAGCTATTTCTAAGGGTGTGTCTTCATTGTAGCTGCAAAATGGCTGCCAAAATAGCGGCTTCAGTTAACATAAGCTCTACCACACAGAAGCAGAAAACAGTTGGAAGTCAGAGTTTAGAGAAAACCTCATTTCAGTGCGCTGTACGACTTGAAGCTAGGCTTGGTGGTGGGGCTTCTGAGCAGGTCCTCAGCTCTGTCATTCATTCTCTCTGTGTGTCTCGTCTCCATTTTTGCAGACGTTAATGAGTGTGCGGGGAAGCCTTGCCTCAATGCTTACTCTTGCAAAAACTTGATTGGTGGATATCACTGTGCCTGCTTTCGTGGATGGGTTGGCCAGAACTGTGACATCAGTTAGTATCAATCCAGCGGATTATTTAGTCTGCAGCTTCCTGCGACTCACCTGTAGCACCGAGGAGACTCGAAGCCTGTCATCTTTGCTGGCTACCTTCTGTTCCACTAGCTTCTGATCGCTTCTTGTCTTCTTTATAGGCTGAAACACTGGGTTTTCTCACCGTGATATAAGATAAATTAGAAGTTATTATAATGGACGGTAAAATTTTGACAATATTCTGAAGAAAAGTTTGTATTTATTTTTAGGTGCAGCTTCCGTAAGCTTCCATTCAGCATGCTAATAGCTAATAGCTACAGAACGTCAACAAGCTGAACACACATCTGCAGCCTCGTTGTGGTGGTGACGTTGAAGTCATGCGACCGTAGTGTAGTTCGTTTTGCAATAATCCAAAACCCAATCAAAAAATCCCGTAGGCTTTTTGAAGAAAGAACCAGTGCAATGCTAACTTACTCTTTAGCCTATAGAAAAACGTCATCCTTGGAGCACTCTATGTGAACAAAAAAATAAATTTGGGCCCTTTAGATGATTTCTTTATCTTAGACTATGGACAGAAAAACACAGTAACATGTGTTGTGACTATTCAGAAAAAACGATGAAAAAAAAACCCTGTATGAGAAAATCTTTTAAGTTAAAGGTGCTGGTGGAACAGAGGCTAGCAAGCCAAGTTGTCTGGACTTCAGCTCTTAATTCACCCTCCTTTCTCTTGCCTCTCGGATGGCTGTTCATACCTGCCACACCCTGGCCTAACTCTTCTAAGTTATGAGACTAAACCTTTTTCATTTTTTCTGACTGTTGTAAATCTTTTCGAGAAAATCTTGAGGGGTAGTTTTGACTTCTGCGGTTTGGTCTTATTGCATGTTCTCACTGCACCTGTGAATCTGTATCTGACATTTCCTTGGGCATGGACCACTTTGCTTTGTTTGTGTTGACCACTTCTCTGTAGCAGCTGCATGTTCCAACACCACTGCATGTTCCATCTTCTAGTTCGTCAAACTCAAACCTGATGTTTCCTCTGTTTGTTTCTTTCTTAGATATGAACAGTTGCCATGGTCAGTGTCAGAATGGAGGGACCTGCAAGGTGAGATTCCCAAGCTCTCAAGAACACTGAGGTCTTTGTTGGATTTATATACATATGAATGTAACCTGATGCAGCAATGGAGCTGGAACAAGATCATAGCTGATCGTCAAAGTACCTGTCAGAACGTAAAAAATATGCTCGGGGGTATTTTGAAACATTGGTTATCAACTTGTTCGGCCTGAAAGGGTTTTTTTTTCATTTTCTGGTTTTAGTGAAGAAGTAAAAAATAAAATAAGGTGCTGTCAGGAGGATTTTAACAAAGTGCAAGTACATGTTTTGACACAAACATTTATACAGCTACCTGAATCAGTGTTGAAAACCATCCTGAATACAAAGCATTCATAGTTGTCCATTTCTTTTTGACCCACGTATCTCAAATATCATTTTTAATTTGAATCACGCTAGGATTAATTCTCACAATTTCAGATTGTTAAACATACTATCCCAGATGTTTTTGTAGCTCCCAATATCCCCAAGTCTCTGTCTAGCTTAGTGTTGATGTTCTGAAACTCAGCGTAGTCCATAAAAGGCTGTCTAAAGCTTTGCTTGTGATATTGGGTGCCAGAATAAACCAGAATGATAGAGGACACTTCTCACTTTATCTTAAGAAAAGATTATAAATTTGAAGCTCTGACACTTTGATCATCTGCGTCTAAATGAAATGTGACAGCAGAGTTTTTGATAACTTCTCGTTCCAGGAGGTGGCCAGAGGCTACCAGTGTGTTTGCCAGCCAGGATTCGTGGGTCGGCACTGCGAGGTTCAGAGAAACCGCTGTGCCAGCAGTCCATGTAGGAACGGTGGCCGCTGCCACGCCCTGCTGGACGGGTTCATGTGTGAATGCCTGCAGGGCTTCGCTGGTACAACTTGTGAGGTGAGGACTGGATCCAGCCAGTTAGATACACTGTAAAAAAAAAGAGAGAACAGTTTGGTGCTTACACTTTGGTGTTGTGTTTCACTGCTGGGGAGGACACACCCCTAACTCCCTGTTTTCCATCTGTAGGTGCAGAATGACCCCTGCAGCCCGAACCCATGTCACAATAAGGCCCAGTGCCACAGCCTGATGGGAGATTTCTACTGCAGCTGCCCCGACGATTACGAGGGCAAAACCTGCTCAGAGCTCAAGGACCACTGCAAGACCAACCGCTGTCAAGGTAACAAAGCACAGATAGAATCTTGTAAATGATTTCAAGATATGTTTTAAAGGAATACTTCATCTACCAAATGAATGATGTATATCAGTAACTTACCCCGTGTTAGGTTGATTTTGTGAAGGAAACTCTTTTATCTCATACCTCTGGTGAACAAAGAAAAGTTCTTGATAACTTGAAGTTGTAGAGGTCCATGTTTAACAACAGAGAAACTACAGCACATTATCCATTTACAAAGTCACACAACTCATGCAGTATAATCCAAGTCTCATTAATCCAGTCATGTGATCTGATAGTGAAACTTATCTATGCTCTCTTCAAAGCCAGACTCCATTTACAAAAGTCATTTTTCCTTGCTGAACACAGGAGCTACTGCTCTACCACTGCCTCGATAGGTTAGAGTATTTGTGTTCATGTGTGACTTTGGTGAATGCAAACTAACTGTTTAAACACCAACGTCAGACAATAACACAAATCAACTAATTGATTGAGGCAATGGTAGACCAGCAGCTCCTGTGTTCAGTGATGTAAAATTACTGTTTTTGTCAATGGAGCCTGGCTTTGAAGAGAGTATAGATAAGTTTCACTTTTAGAAAGGCTCGTCTGTTTGGGAAGCGCTCAGCATAAAACTGGATAAATGGGATATTGCGGCTTCCAAATAACTTAAAAAAAATAGCCGCCCATGGACGCCATAACGGGAGATATGATGAACTCACTGTCTTTGGTTTAGTTCTAATCACTGTTTGATGATTAAGGGTGCTTCGGTTGTTTTAAGAGTTGACTGATTTGCAGGATGTGGGGAGAGCTGCAAGATAATGCTAACTGATTGTCTTGACTGTCGCAATCAAAAGAATGAAACATTCCCCAAATAACCAGGCCTTTACTCAAAAAATAATAGGAAACCAGGACGTGCTAGAAATGGCTCTAACATGGGACTTGGATTATACTGCACAAGTTCTATGAGAGTTTATTAAACATGGACCCTTATGACTTCAGTTCATCAAGAATATTAGCTTTTGTTGGATTTGTTGTCACTGTCAAGTTTAAGTGACGAATAAATTGTAACACAGGTTGAGTGATTGATATACAAATGGTCATTCGGGGGGTGAACTATTCCTTTAATCAACGCATACGTTCTATTCTAACTGTCCGCCCTGCTCATTTTCTTCACCTTCAGTGATTGACAGTTGCACTGTAGCCGTGGCAACCAACGACACCCAAAAGCGGGTGTGGCACATCTCATCCAATGTGTGCGGTCCTCACGGCCGCTGCATCAGCCTGCCTGCTGGGAACTTCAGCTGCTCATGTGAGCCGGGATTCACTGGCACCTACTGCCACGAGAGTGAGTCATTATTAGCTCGCATCACACACACACACACACACACACACACACACACACACACAACTCAACACACAGACTATATTTATCATCAGTTACCGTCACTGGTAACCACATGATTCTTACGGTAATTCAGACTCCAGTTTCACTAATCATCACTCTCTGAGTTTGGTTCAAAGCAGAAGGAAAAAATAACAGAAAACGGAAATCCAGAGGAAAACATAAACTGGAAAATGCTGAGGAATATTTCACGTCCGATTACTCTGTGGGTTTTGATTATGTACTCTCACAGGATGCTTTTCAAATTTTGTTTTCAAAATCCAACTTCCTCTAATTCAGAAAAGCTGATAGGAACAGGAAAAAATAATTTTGTAATAATTTTTGTGTTTACCTTTAGAATATCAAAAAGACTAAATAGAAGTGGTGGATATTTTCACATTTTAGAAATTTTATCAGATGACAATATGTGTGTATCCAAGATGCCAAAAAACCTGAAATATTTGGAATTCTTTGGACCTAATGCATTTTGAAAATTGAATCACTAAGTCCAGAAAAAAAATTAAATGAATAACTTGACATCTGTGAATATCTCACCTCTCTCTGCCCACAGACATAAACGACTGTGCATCATCCCCCTGTAAGAACGGAGGCACTTGCATCGACGGGATCAACTCCTTCGAGTGTTTCTGCCCAGACGGCTGGGAGGGCAGTCTATGCGATATTGGTGAGTAAGTGTGTGTGTGGGTGAGTGTGTGTCTGAGAGAACAGGGTTTTTGGGGTCAACGTGCTCAGCTCAGGTATGCAAATTTTAGGGCAGGCCTTGCTAAGTCATGCTTCTGCCGGTGAGTCACACATCCAGGGAGAATTCATCAGTGGCCTCCAGCAGCAGAGGAATGATCAGCAGTCTGAGAATCTTATGGAAGACAAAACAATGGAGGATTTGTTTTGGAGATGAAAGGAAGCGGAAAAATGTGGCAGCTTAATCAGCTGACTGATTCTAAATCTGTTTTGTAACAAGCACACAGCTGCTGACATTGTTTGGTGTGCACATTTGCAGATGACACGATTACCTATTTGAATATTGAGAGGGAGAGCTGGTCCAAAAGCAGTGATGAATATGAAAAATGTAATATATTTGCTTATTAAAACTTTATCAATATGGCAATCTTAGGTATCTGATGCAAATATAAAACAACCACATGCAAGGCCATAGTGTTAAAGTCTATTATAGTGTTGTTTTTGGGCTTACAGACATTTGAAGATGTAGCTCTACATTATGAAATAGATTTAAAAAGTCATTGTAGAATCAGTAGCTTAAATACTTGCACTGACACACTGTGATTTTGTTCCAGATGTGAATGAGTGCAACAGGAACCCCTGTCAGAACGGAGGCCAATGTGTCGATCTGCTCAACGACTTCTACTGCAACTGTGTGGACAACTGGAAAGGAAAGACCTGCCACTCACGTAAGTTGATATAAACATGTGTTAGTGATTGTTGAAACACTTGTGACTGTATGTTGTGTGTTTGTGACGTCTTCATAAAAAATCATGGGCACTGCTGAGGTGCTGTTGAGCAAGACACCGAATCCCGAACTGCTCAGGGTGTCTGTCCAAAGCAGTCCCTTCAATCCGACATTTCTCCATTTGATGCATGTATAGGTCCTGTTTGTGCATGTGTGTGTATTTTGGGCCTGTGTGTGTATGACAACAGAATAAAAAAGAAATTGATATATAGAGTATCTTCTTCTTCTAATACCAACCAATTTTAACCAATAATGTCATGACATCCACCAACTTTTAGCCGCACAGAGCTAAGAGCATAGACTGTATAAAGTAATAGAAGCGGCTACAGTGACGTCAGCCATTAGTTTGTGGACTCTCTTTTGAAGCCTTGAGTCTGGCATTTTGAGGGTCGCCATCTTGTTACAGAGCCAGAGGTGGTCACATTTGGATGAGAAGGTGAAGCGGACTCATAGATGGTTGCGACACCTTGCAAAGAGCCTGTCACTCAAGCGGTCCCACCCTTAAATACAAAGCATAACTTGAAGCCTTAATAAAATGTTAATGGCGGAGTTATATCAAAACTTTTACACCATACAGTTGTCATGAATGTTGAAGTTAGCTATAAAGAGCAAAACTATTTTATGTACCAGGCTGTAAACATGTTTATTCCTGCTGTTAAATTGGACATTTTTCGTGGGGATTGACTGGCTTCTGGAGTCAGCCTCAAGAGGCCATTTGAGGAACTGCAGCCATGTTGGCTTCATTTTTCAGCTTTGGATGTCACTGCGTGGATAAGATAGTTCACTAGCAAGCATTAGCATGCTCAGTCAGTGTTTTGCTTCCCCAAAATTGCTTCCCCATTTTGAATTAACTGGTGTCTGTGACAGCTTCAAGGCATTTTACAGTGGCTTGCTTCACTTTGTAGTGATCAAATCAAATTTCTCCCAACATTATATCCCCAAGCCTGTCCCGTTTCACTGGGAAATACATCAGGATAGGGACGCCAGATACTCATAAAATTCACTTTCATCCTTACTGCAATTGTTATAATGGAGTACGTGAACAAAAATTCAAGTGTAGCCCATGAGTAGCGTCTTTGTCCTCTGTTTCTATGTTCTCCAACATGTCAGGTCTTATATTCTTTAACTGCCTCAGCCTCTAAATCTTTCTGAAGCATGATGCCCTCACTGCTGGCTGCTGTGCAGGCTTGTTCTCCGCTCTGACGGCGTCTCTGAACTATACTTTGGAGCTGAAGAAACACTGGCACAGAGTCAAATGCTTAAAATGTGTTTCCCATGCTGCCTTATTCCAGGTGAGAGCCAGTGCGACTCCACTACCTGCAGTAATGGAGGGACGTGTTACGACCACGGAGACTCTTTCCTGTGCAGCTGCCCCTCAGGCTGGGGTGGCAGCACCTGCAACACAGGTCAGGCGCTCACTGCACTCTAATTACACTGTTGTGGCTCTGGTAATAACAGTGATAATACAAAGGGATATTACGTAGTTACAATCTGTCAGACTGTGATCACAGGCCGGAGAGCAGCTCTCACACTGTGGGCTGGTCAGAATAAAAACATTATTTATACAAGGGAATCTTTGGTTTTGTTTTTTAGCCAAGAACAGCACATGTGACTCGGGTCCTTGTGAGAACGGAGGGACGTGTGTCGGAGGGGGAGACGCCTTCACCTGCATCTGCAAGGACGGCTGGGAGGGACTCACCTGTGCACAGAGTATGTCACTGTTAGAAACCATGATCATGTCGTAACGGCTGTGAAGTGGAGATGGGAATATTTACAACTTGAGAGTGCTCGCGTCATCGGCAAGTCAAGGCAGTGGCATAATTGTAGAGTTGGTCGTGTGAACATTAAAGTACTTTTATACTACAAATTTATCCAGTAAAGTTTAATCACCTTGACTTTAGCTGCATTTAGCTCCGTATTATTTAGTGCCAAGGCAGATAAATCAGGGATTTCTGATTTCCTTTCCATAATAACAACTCGGATGTTGACATGAACCTGCTTGTGGAACTCCTAAATGTAGCTGGAATAACTTAGAACACTCCTTAATAATTAAGTTATCACTTTCGGGGGCGTCGGTGGCTTAGTGGTAGAGCAGGCGCCCCATGTACAAGGCTGTTGCCGCAGCGGCCTGGGTTCGACTCCAGCCTGTGGCCCTTTGTGCAAGCCTGAAAATGAAGGAAATCTGAAACGATGGAGCACAGCTGTGTTGTTGTCGGACCCTGGTCTGAGCTGGCCCAATGCTACGCTATGATTTGCCAGTCTGCGTCCAGGGGCGGGACTTAGCGAAGGATCAATTGCAATTTAAAACTTAGTAATTTGGTCTTCTTTATCTCTCTTTCAGATGTCGATGACTGCAATCCCCATCCTTGGTAAGAGCGATTTCTTTTCATTATTATTCTATTCTTTTATTTTCATGGCTGTGTAGAAAGTCCAGTGTTAGTGCTGCTAGTTGCAGTTTTCTGACAAAGTCTCAAAAATCTCTCTTTGTTTTAGCTGGATTCTTTTTAACTGTAGAAACCTGTTTATGGCGTCCAACAAGTTTTTTATTGATCAGTTGGAAGTTGACGTGTTCAGTACAGAAGCCCTGCAGACAGATCATCACCTCTTTAACCATTTTCTGCCTGTTTTGGTGCTGAATACGAGTCAGATTCCTCTGTTATCTGATAGTTAGTTAAAGCTGAACTCACTTGATGCTGTAATTTGATTCAACTGTGGTGGTCTGGACAGAAGCCCTAATTTCTAGTGACTATTTATTACTGCTGGGTGCGGCACCTTTGATCCTTACCTCCGCTCTGTTGACATTTGTATTTTGTGTGAGTCACTCTGGGAAAAACTCCAACAACCTGAGATTCACTGTTTCGACTTGAGAGTATGAAACAGAGCGTGGAGCAGCTACGAGGTCTCCCAGTGATTCTCACGCTTTCAGATCTGATTTAATGCCCAGAATTTTCCTGTTAAAGATTGTGGATGAAAATGTGCAACATTGTCTGATTCTCAGATGGGAGGTTTTGCTGCTTTGACTTTAATTCAAATAAAAGAGAATACCTCACCCCTTAAATGACCATTTGTACATCAGTTACGCACCTTGTTACGCTGGCATTGTGAAGATATCCTTGTTTTTTCACATTGCAAAAACGGATAGAAGTCTAGATGAATTGAAGTCCTGGGTTCCCACATGGACAACAGGAAAACTATATCAAAACATCTGTTCTCAAACTCTCACGCCACTCATGCAGTGTAATCCAAGTCTCATTTATCCAGTTGCATGCTCAGTACTTCCCAAACACACAGCCCTGTCCAACGAGAAACTAAACCGTAAGTGAGACTTATCTGTGCTCTCTTCAAAGCCAGACTCCATTGACAAAAACAGTAATTTTACCTCAGTGAACACAGGAGCTGCTGGTCTACCTCTGCCTCCATCAGTTAGTTTGTCTGTGTCATTGTGTGACTTTGTTGTTTTAAACGGTTAATTCAGATTCTCCAAAGTCACACAATAAAACAAACAAGCTAACTGACAGAGGCAGCGGTAGACCAGCAGCTCCTGTGTTCAGCGAGGTAAAATCAATGTTTTTGTCAATGGAGTCTGGTTTAGAAGAGAGAGAAGAAGGATTAGCGAAAGTTCATGTGTTTGGGAAGGATGGAGCGCAGGACTGAATAAATAAGACTTGGATTATACTGCATGAGTTGTGCCAGAGTTTGTAAACAGATGTTTTGATGTAGTTTTGCTGTGGCCCCCTATGACTGCTGTTAGTCAAGAATTTTCTCCATTTTTGGACTCTTCGTTCATCATGATCTGAAGCAAGGAAAACAAACTTATCTTCACAAATTCACCTTAACACAGAGTGAGTAACTGATATACAAATGATCATTTGGGGGGTGAAATATTCCTTTAAAGGTGTCAACTTGAGTTTAAGGAAATTGCAATTAGCATTTTTAGTTGTATTTTTATCATTTTATTGATACAAAAACACTCAAGCAAAGAAAAACTAGGGACTCCTGATAGCTCCACTGGATCCGAGAGGCTTTCTAGGACAAAAGCCTCCCCTTCCCCTCCCCCTCCTCCCCTCCTCACCCTCCTCTACAATGACTGACAGGTGGATTAGTGGTGGTTTTAGTTGGAGAGGGTTGAGGGAGAGGCGGGCAGGAGAGTGTGAAGAGACACCCCTCTCACCATTCACCAGCCTCGACCTGGGGGTAGCTGTGAGGAGTGGAGGTGTCAGGGGGGCTCAGTATGTGGTCAGCAGGGATTTACATATGAAGTCTGGACATTGATCAGGGATCAGCTTCAGCCTGCTGACACTCAGAGTCTCTGCAAACTCTGCGGGAAAAAAAGAGTGATGGTTTGAAGCTCAGAGGGCAGAACACGAGACAAACCAGCGGAGTTACTGACCTCGAGGGTTTAATGTGACAGACGCTTGTGTAGCAGTGTAGATGTGTTGATGTAGTAGAGTGGCTGTTTGGTGTGAGGATGATTATGAAGGACAGATGATGAAGTTTTTTTCAGAGCTAAACCTGCTACAGTTACTTTCATAATCATTTCCTGCAAAGAATTTCACCGGATCAGTCATTTCTAAAGAAGTTTTCTTAAGGATTTAATGTTGTTGTTATCGTAGTAACATGAAGTGAGAGTACAGATGGCACAGATGATGAGATTCTAATATTGGATCATAGTTATACAGAAAAGGGAAGTTATATTGGTGAATTTGTTACATTAGTGTTTATGAAACTTCCTGGGGAATAACCTTCTTCCATGTGAGCTCCTTTTAGGAACTATTAGAAAGTGAGGAAACCAAAACCATCAACTAAATTGACGTCATGCAGCTCAGTGGGCAGGATGAGATGCACTTAAAGGTTTAATTTCCACTGAATTTCTGCAGGACTTGTGGTAAAAGGGACAGATCACCCCAAATTCAAAACACATATTTTCCTCTTACCTGTAGTGATGTTTATCAATTTAGATTGTTTCGGTGTCAGTTGCCGAGTGTTGGAGATATCAGCGGTGTTAAAGCCATTTCTAGCAAGGCCTAGTTTCCTATTATTTTTTGAGTCTCTCTAATGCACCACCTGACCTGGCATCTAGGGAGTCTTTAATTAAAGGCAGGTGTGCTGAAGTGAGTGTGGAGCATGGAAGACGCCACGGGGTTACAGTTGTTAACCGCAGTGTGTTTGGTTAATCTTAGTTTTTAATTGTTTGTTGAAGTCGTTTAATGCCCCATTGATTTGAACTTTGTTTCTGTAAAGGCCTGTTTATTTGGGGAGTGTTTGTTCGGGGGACAGTGACAGTTAAGACAGTTAAGACAATCAGTTCGTAGCGTCATCCTGCAAATCTCCATTCATCCCCCAAATCAATCAACTCTTAAACCAACCGAAGCACCCTGGTTGATCAAACTGAGGAAAACGAAACCAAAGACAGTGAGTTCATCATAGCTCCCGTTGAGGTGTCTGTAGGCGGCTATTTTTGAACTTAGCGGAAGCTGCAATAAGCTGTAGAGATGTCTGCCTTCTCTCCAATGTGATGGAACTAGATAGGACTTAGCTTGTGGTGCTTAAAGACCCAAAAAACTCAACTGCAATGTCTCTTTCCAGAATCATGACTCAGTTACTCAAGATAATCCACAGACCTTGTTATGAGCAGTTTCATGTAGGAGCTGTTTTCTTTCTACCAAACTACATCTGCCAACTGTATCACTGTGAAGAAGGAAACGTGCATCTACTCATGGACGAGATGCTCATTTCTCGTGACAGCGGAAGATGTAAACATTAATGGCGTCCTCCTCGGCTTAGCAGTAACATTAGCTAGCTCAGTGGTGCTAGGTGAGCTAGCAGTAGATGCCCTCTTCCTTCTGCGCATTGATACGTTTGGTGTAGTTTGGTAGACAGAAAATAGTTCCTGCATGAAACTGCTCACAACAAGGTCTATGGATTATCTTGAGTAACTGAGTCATGATTCTGGAAAGAGACATTGCTGTTAAGTTCTTTAAATGTTTTTGTTTTTTTTGGCACTTTGAGCACCACAAGCTAAAGGACATCTACTTCCATTATATCAGGAAGGAAGGCAGACATCTCCAACACTCGGCAACTCACACAGAAACAATCTAGACTGATAAATAACACTACGGTGAACCGTCCCTTAAAAGAATCCACTTAATTGCCAGAATTAGTCCACAGTGACACATTATGAGCTTTTCATTATATGTGAAGCCTGTCTGACGGACGTAAACTAATATTACTAAATCTTGAGACGTGTATTCCAGCCAGGGGATGTCAACACCAAATTCCTCAGAGTCAAACATATCTGCAAGTGAACTTCTTCAGTGAAATGATTTAGAGTGTTGACAGTGATTTACAGTTTTCTAAATGCACATCTGAAAGAAGAGAGTTTTTCCCCTCAGGGAAGAAACGCAGAAGGAATTCACTTTTTCAGTGTCTCTTTGAACCTGTGTGATGTCTGCAGCAGCACTGAACTCACATGTTGCTTTCTGTTTCCTTCTCTGCAGCTACAACGGAGGCATCTGCGTCGACGGTGTGAACTGGTTTCGCTGCGAGTGTGCCCCAGGATTCGCCGGACCCGACTGCCGCATCAGTGAGTCCCTGGGAACTGGAGGGGGGCGTGTGGAGGGGTCAGGTGGGCGGGGGGTCAGAGGTGAAAGGCCGCGGCGGGGGAGCGTGAGCCGATTGTCTCAGGGCGACAGATTAGGAAGCCTTTTAGGAAGACGGTCTTAACCTCTCCCCTCTGCGCTGAGCCGAGGTCAGAGCTGAGGCTCGTCAGACGGGTCGGTGCGTTCTCCCGCGGCCTTTTGGGAGAAATCTCCTCAGAAAAGCCTTTTCAGAACCCGAGTGTTATCCAATTGAAGCGTTTCAAACCAAACTGCTATAAACCCTTTGTGCAAAGAGCGATCCTCCGAATTCCATCACTCATTGAAGATATTTAAATATAACGGTCGGATCTCTCAAAGCTCAGTTTTTTCTCAGCGAGAGTTAAGCTTCGGAAAGACTTGAAGAAGAGATCAACAATGCCAGTAAGACCTGTGTGAAATGTATGAATTTAGATGAATAGATCTGCTACTGAAAAGGTGCTGCAGCTCTTTCCATCAGTCCGTGGATCAGTCTTGTCTTTTCTCCATATAATTAGAAGTTTTTTTATGACAAAAATTGGTGACAGATCATAGTTGTTATCTGGACACTTGGTTTCCAGCTGCTGTGGAAAAAAGGGGCCCGATGACCTTAACGGGATGGTGCAGATCTTTTTAAGTTGGGTTGTATGATGGACTTATCTAGACTTGGTGTATTACCTACAGCAGATGTTTGTTGGCAGGCCCCCAGTTTGGAGAAGCAGACAGGAGTACTGACATGGAAGCTAAGCAGTGTACTGCTGTGGATGGGGGCAGCAGCAAAACATGTTTTTGCCACCTACAAAAAGTCATTGTAAGTACATGCTATATTTAGAATAGCCTCCGTAGCGGTACTCTTGTCTGCTTCTTCAAACTGGGGGTGTGCCAAGTGACATCTACTGTGGGTAATACACCAACCGCACACACACCCCCACCCCTTCAAAAACAAACAAAAACTTCTGTACACTGTGTGTATTTAACATACAGCTCTGTGGTTTCTCTTACAGACATAGACGAGTGTCAGTCGTCTCCTTGTGCCGAAGGTTCGACCTGCATGGATGAAATCAACGGCTACCGCTGTGTTTGTCCTCCAGGACACGCTGGACCTCGCTGTCAGGAGTGTGAGTACCATAAGTCTGGATCACAGTGTTTGCCACCTGTTGAGTTACAGTTACTTTATTAGGTTTGGTGGATTTCCAGCAGGTCATTGGTGAAGTAAATGTGAAGATTGACAACTGATCCACTTCCTTTTGTTCTCATCCTCTTTTTTATTCTCTCCAGTTATCGGACTCGGGAAGTCATGCCGTCACGCTGGCCTGCAGTTTCCTCATGGCAGCCGGTGGGAGGAGGAGTGTAATGCGTGCCAGTGTGTCAACGGATACGTTCGCTGCTCTAAGGTCAGGGTCACAATGAGGACTGTTATTTTACCAAAGTAATGATGTTGTGTAGTGATGACCCAGCACGTGTTCGCCATTGTTATCACAGTGTTCGTGCAGCCAGTTTTATGAGAGCCACATCAGTAAAAATCCCTGTATCCATGTTCTTCCAGGTGAGGTGTGGTCGTCGGCCCTGCCTCCTCCCAAAGGCTCTGCCTCCTCCTGCGGACACAAACGCCCCGTCTTGCCCCGGAGGTCATGAATGTGTGGAGCATCAGTTCCTCACCTGCTTCTCGCCGCCATGTCACCAGTGGGGTGTGTGTTCAACGCCAGACCCTCCAACGCCCCTGCACACCCAGTGTGAGCCCAACAGTGGTTACCTTGACAACAGCTGTGCTCGCATCACGCTCATCTTCAAAAAGGACAAAGTGCCTCAGGTAAGGCATTGAGACAACTTTCCTTGTGTAGATAAAGAAATAAACAGGTGATATACCACTGTAACTCTTCATATTTTTGAGTTTTGTACTGTCAGTCAGACTGAAAAAGTAATTTGAAGATGTTGCTTGGGGAATATGGACATTTCAATGGCTGTTTTTCACAACTTGTGACATTTTATACACCAAAAAAATGAATCAAAACATTAAAGAAGTGGCCTCGACCATCGACAGCAGGGTCAGTTAGGCTTCCCTATGTCTCAACATCTGCTACCACTTTGCTTTTTAGCAACACTTTTCTAAAATTCTTGGTGGTCCAGAGTGCAAATCTGTGGTTTTTACACAGAAGTCACATTTTTCGATGCTTTTTAAGTTAAGAAATCATGAAACATGTCAAAAACGGCCTCAGCAGTAACAAAAATGACGGGTGTTGTTTTTAGAAGTTATGTTTAACGGTAACAAACATATGATTTTTTTGCGAATTAAATGTTCTGTATCAAAGCAGGACTTTAAACACAGAGGTTGAAGCTCTGTTGTGAATTAAGAGACCGACATTTTATCAGCCCCGTTAGCACTGCTGTAACTAGAGTGTGTACGCTTTCGATGAGCTCTCCCTGAGAGAACAGTCTGAATTAAGGCCGAGGAGACAGTTGGAAACCACCAGTGAGCCTCCGATCCAATCATCAAGTCATTTTTCATTCTTGTTGATATGTCACGTCATAACAACACATTGGAAATCATTTTCCTACCACCCTGGATTGTTAACATTTGATAATTGCTGGATTGTTAACAATTGGGGGGCTGGTAGAAAATGACTTCAAATGTCTCGTTGCTTGAATTTGCAACCGCAAACACGTACACACACGTGTCGTTCCTCACTGTATACAGATGGGGGTCAGTTTTTGACTTTCGACAGCTTGCCCTTGGCCGTGCGTTATGTAACTTCCCAATGAAGACGCTGATGTTTGGATGCCGAGGAAACAAAATCACGGAGGGAAGAAAGTCAGTGAAGCTGCAGTGTTAATCAGATTTGGACGTCGTTTTTGTTGATGAAAAATAAAAATAGCTGACGGCAATCTGAAAGGGGCAGCACTACAGTACATCTTCTCATGGACGAGTCTCTCATGCTTGTGACAGTGCAAGATGTTCAAGGCCCTGATCACACAAACAAAGTGTTTTAGCAGCTGGAGGCGCCTTTTTGTATTTGTGTTTAATGAGAATGAAGCTTTTTGCTTGCGATTTTTGCATCATGACACACCTCGTATTTCTGTGCTCTAGCGCCTGCCATTTTTGCTGGAGTGCTCTGAACGCCTCAAGTTTAAAAAACGTAAACTCAAAGCGGAAAAGCGCCCCACGTCATCTCTTTTTTCGAATGATTTGAGAGGCGGGCCTTCTGTCATGGTCACAACAAGTTTACAGTTGGTAAACAATGGAGTAGAAACTGGTGGTGGCGGTTGCTGGATACCCAGAGCTATATGGCCCAATGATAGACAGCAGGTTGTCAAACTGCCCCTGAGTCATCCTAAAATATGCCTGGAAACAGCCATCATGGAGGAGAAGCTCCTGGACCAACTGGTGGTACTCCCCATGATCCAGCCTCTTTTTTAGGGTCTCATGTACCCACACAGATCTCTGTTTATCTGCTGACAGCCTGTCACCCTCAACCAGAGCTACAGACAGCACCCTCTGCCTCAACATGTCAGGAACTAGCTAATAATTACTGTCAAATGACTCAAATAAATAAGCAGCGCACCTCACGTTTTGCAACCAGCAAAATGTTCTCTGTATGACTGGGGCCCAGTGGTGTCGTCCTCAGCTGAGCTGCAACATTAGCTAGCTCAGAGGTGCTAGGTGAGCTAGCAGTAGATGCACTCCTCCTTCCTCACAGTGATGGTGGGTGTAGTAACCAGGTCATGATTTCTGGAAAGAGACTTTGCTGTTGAGTTTTTCAAATATATTTTTTTGGCGCTTTGAGCTCCACAAGCTGAGTGCCATCTAGTTCCATTATATTGGAGAGAAGGCAGACATCTCTACAGCCAGTATCTCCAACACTCGGCAACTCACACCAAAATAATTTAGCTCTATAAATAGCACTACAGGTAAGAGATAAAATATGTGTTTTTGATTTTTGGGTGAACTGTCCCTTTAAAAAGACACAGTTTCAGTCAGGACTAGTTTATCTTAAAGCCGCCTCTCCTGGCCCTTTTATGGAGAGAGAAACTTAAACTGCGGTGAGAAATAAAGTCCATAAACGTCCAGTTAAAGTAGCAGACGTGTTCTGTTGTTAACGAAGCTTGAATCTTCTCCCTCTTGTTGGTCCAGATGGTGTTTTTGTTGTTTACTACTGTATCATGAAACCTTAACTGGCCCCCTGCGGCAGGTCTGAATAAAGTTTTATGAATGGAAATGAATCTGTTCCTCTGACGAGATACTGATCTGAGATCTGAGCCACAGTCTCCCCTGCTGGGCGAGGCCCTCTGATTGGCTGCATCTGAATCAGACTTAGGAGGAATTAGAAGCTGATTGTTCCTCGCCAGCAGTGCAGATACTAATCTGTCTTATCTGTGTGTGTGTGTGTGTGTGTGTGTGTGTGTGTGTGTGTGGCAGGGCACCACTGTGGAGAACATCTGCTCCGAGCTGAGGTACCTTCCTGTAACTCAGACGCTGGCCGAGGAGCGAGCGCTGCTCATCCTCTGTGACCTGTCCTACTCAAACAGTGATGCCGTGGAGGTCGCCATGGTGATTATTACACACAGACACACACATGCCTGCCCCAACTGTCTCTGTGGTGGTCTTATATTATCTTGATACATGGTCAATCTGTATACTGTAGTTTATAATATTTTGCTACAGCAGTTTCAGTCTCTGAATTTAAATGCTTTGATTTTTGTCAATAATATTAATATGAAGTATTGAATTTTATTTAAGAAACAGTAAGATCCAAAACATACTCAAAGCCAAAAATATAAACAAGTTAACGGTGTGGTTTATAGATATGTGTGAGGAGTGGCTCATAGCGATGTAGGTACAATATCAAATCTAAAGTGCAGGTAAGTGAATATTAATAACAATTTTTTTCCTGGTTGTTACTACATTAAAGTGTGTTAAGCAGGAGAAGAAATGCTACTTTTCCCTCGTGATGATACACATATTTCAGGATATACAGATGCATGACAAAGATAAGACAGTGTACAGCACACAGTGAACGTAAGGAGTGAAGTATATCAAGCTAATTGATCTTCAGACATGATTTCATTAAGTTATAAAACAGAAAAAATTGTGACAAAAACCTTAAAACAATCTTGAAAACGTGTCTGTTGAAGAAAAGACTGCTTGAAGACACACAGCTTCTGAGACACGCAGTTTTATCCAAGACAGCTCATGCTTCAGACGTAGCTTTGGCTGCTAGTGCAACACCCCAGCTCAGTCTCTCCTAACACTAACTTTAACATCACACACCACATCATTCTTTTAAAGGATAAATGTGGTTATTTTTTGCTTACAACTTTGGTCTTAGTTTCATTGTCATGTCCCGTTTTTTCTATCGGTTGCAATAATGTTGTACTCACCAAGTTAATTGCTGAGATCTGAGAGCATAGCATTGTTGTCTAACGTATCAAGAAACGCAAAACAGGTTGAAAACAAGCCACCAGTTTAGGAAGATTATCTAGAACAGTGGTTCCCAACTGGTCCAGACGCAGGGTCCAGATTTCTCCTCAGTCATTAGTTCAAGGTTCACACAGTTTAATATATTCAGCGTCATATTTGCATTTGTAGTCCAGCTAGTTTGCTGTCTCTGTCAAGTAGCTGTCTGTTAGTCACTCACTCTGCAGCAGGAAACAGCACTGTGCACTGTGCACACATTCACTGTACTTCAAAATAAAATGGTTTTTATTTTACAAACCTGACACATAAGCAAGTCACTTGCGGTACATTCAGGACGGACCCGTGACCCACCAGTTGGGAACCACTGATCTAAAGCAATTTATTCAGCGATAAGACTGAAAGTTAAAGGGTAAGTTCGGTATTTGTCCATGTTTGTGTCCAAGTGACTAATGGAAACAGCCATTTTTGAAATTGGTCAAGTATTGAGCGCTAGTGCTGCAGCTGGCAGAGTATGAATCACTCCAAGCATTTGTGCACCGTCGATGTACGTCCTCCACAAGTGTTTGTTTTTGCCAGTGATAGGGACAAATTATTATTCTAAGTGCCTGACAACGTTTGGAACCTTACAGAGATAGACCTGTCTTGTAACCAAGATACCCATATCGAAATCACCATTCCCGAACCTACCAGACTCCATTTACAAAACAGTGATTTTATTGTCGTACAACACACTTTATTAAAAGCCAACAGAAACAAAATCAAAATCACAAGAGTCATCCTAGTTTGTCTTTCGACTGTTCCAACAATCACCAACTCTGGATTGGTTGAAATTAACCCTTAATTCACCCTGTTAGATGTAAAAATATGCTGCTCTATACAGGCTAAAATTACCATTTATTTAAATGGAGTCTGGTGGGTTTGATGACAGGGATTTTGGTGCTATTCTGGTTAAACAAAAATGATCTTACTCTTAGGTCTATGTCCGTAGGGATCCTTAACATAATGTTGTCACACACTTACAATAATAATCTGAGCCAGTCAGTGGTAAAAACAAGCACTTTTACTGGACGTTAATTGGTGATGCATAATAGAGTGTGCCAGGGCTGATGTCAAAACCTGGAAGTTTAGCATTGTGCTGTTTCCCGGAAAAGAAAGTGAATGTGATTTTTGCATTGCGTTTTGGATTATGTCAGAAAATAAGCTCTGTGGCTAACACAAGTTTATGATACTTACAGGTTTTGTTCAGCGAGATAATCTTCACATATGAACACCTTTCATACCGCATTTGAAGCTTAAATGCGATCGCCAGAAGTAAAAAGCTAACGTTAGGCTTTAACGGACTACATTGCTACTCCACGGTTGCATTACACATGTCGGACTGTATAAGCTAAATAAGAAGCTGTAATGGCGGACTGCCAGCACTCTCGCCTGTTCGGGGGTGATGACGTTTAATGTCCCCGACAGGGTTTGTAGTCGTATTGAGCAACTTGTTAGCAACCGCCTTTTTTACAACACGTAAAAGCTTCAAAATTCACAAGTAGGGTATTTACTGACGTGTTTTATGTCGTAGAACAAAACCTGAAACTCGCTTAAGCTTTTGTTGACCACAGACCTTATTTGAGGCATTTTTCCAAAATCCCATTCAAAAAACTTTTAGACGAGAGAACCAGAAGTGCTAAAAGCGCTAACGGAGTTCCGGGTTTACTGGCACACTCTATTGCCCCAAGTGGTAACACTGCAGCTCTGTCGTTCAATACTGGACTAGTTTTTTTTAGCAATGTTGTTCCTTTTCATCACTTAGACAAACAAACGTGGGAAAATGGAACTTACCCATCAACACATCTGAATTTATTATCCAGTACAAGATAACACACACACACACACACAGATTTAGACGATGCTTCCTTCGCTCCTCCTCACTTTCTCTCTTTTCTTCTCCCATTTTGTCAAATCACACTTAATTTGTCACTGCAAATCGTTTCCAGAGGAGTCCAGTAAAGTCTGAGCGTTTTCTATTTCCAGTTTCTTTCCTCTTTGTTTTAATAAAAGAAACACAGAAGAGAAAAGACAGAGGAGGGAGAGGCGTTTGAAACTTTTAACAACATCTGGATGAGATTTAGCTTTTCTGTTGGGACACCTTGCTGATCTTTGTCTCTGCTCTCCCTCGTCTTCCTCTCTTCCATTCTGTCTTTTTTTTTTTACATGTCCTGCATTCAATTGCTCCTTTTTTGTTTCTCTTTCTCTCACTCTTTCTTTGCTGCTGTCTTGTCCACCCCTCTCCCTCCTCTCTTGTCTTCCTCTCTCCTCTTCTCTCCCCTTCCCTCCTTCCTCTCCTCTCGGCCACCCAGGCTCGGGGGAAATCAGTCACTTCAGGGCTCTAAGCTTTTAATGGAGGGGATTAGTTCCCTTTCCTCTGATGTTTGCAGGCCTGTTTTGAGCGACAGATACAGGAAAAGGAGTGGCGAACCTGACATCCACCCAAACCCCACAACAAGGCTTTCACGAAAAACCTCACTCCCACTCGCTGCCGACTCGTGTTGCAGCAAAATGTCAGCGCTCATTTCCAAGTGTGGGTGAAATCTCTATAATCCCACCGAGCCTCGCGGAGTGCGGCCGCTTGTGTCGATTTATTCCCGTCCAAAAGGCTCTCAGTGTGTTTGTAAACCCCTGAAACGCTCTGCTGCGAGGCCTCCAACCTGAGCAGGAAACAAGTGGTTCAATATGTTGCAGTGTGTGTGTGTGTGTGTGTGTGTGTGTGTGTGTGTGTGTGTGTGGGGGGAGGGAGGAGAATGAGGAGAATGAAGAGCACTCAGTTTGTCTTCATTTGGAGAGTGAAGCGTCCCCGCTTTATCTTGAGTGCGTTGGAAGGAAGATCAACAGATCTGAGAGTAGTTTTTCAAGTAGTTTAAGCAAAATATTTGGAGGCAACATTCAGACGTGCTGTTGGTGAAGCCTCGAAAGTCAAGTTTAATTTTATTCTCCATCAAGTCTGAAAGTCTGCCTGAAATTCGTTCTCAAAATGGGCAGGATTCCCCCTGAAATGCTTCACATAGACGAATTCATACAGTTTCTGGAAGCTTAACTACACTTACAACATCCTTGTACTATTCTTACTTCAGATTGCATTTCATGGCTCACCTCAGGGTCCTCTTGAACATATACGTTGCAGTAATTTGTCTGTTTCTTCTCCTCTCCAGTGATTGTCTCTTTGAGCTGCATCAGTGTTCCTCATCTTTCTTTTGGTTGCTCCCTCTTCTCTCTTGCTTTCATGCTCTGTTGTTTCCCTGTTGTATGAAAAACGGCATTTGCGTGGCAGCTTAAAGTTGAAGTCTGTAACTTGGCTGGTAAAAGTCACGCTGTACGTTATCAAGCAGCTTATTTTACCGTTGTTAAGTTCAAGTCATGGATATGTTTGGAGCCATTTGGCCTGAGGGTTGGCCTGTGTTCACACCGAACGTGAAGCACGTATCGGGCCACTGGAGTGTTTTTTGGAGTACTTTGCATTTGCAGAATATCCGCCATTGACAGCTGTGCTAATGGTCCTGCTAACCCACTTGGGAAGGAAGCTAATGGCTAACTTGGTTTGCAGTAAAGTGCAACCGATAGCTTGAATCAAGTGATGTGAAAACAGTTAACACAGAGGCTCCGTTCTCTGAACCAAGACAGTATCACAATTTATTATTTTTCATACCATCGCAGTAGTACATTACACTTCTCCTTTTTTGATCTGTCTCTGATAGGGCTGTACCCAAATATTCGAATATTCGTTTCTATGGGTAGGTATTCGTTATGACAATTTGGTATTCGATATTTGTGTTTTTATTTATTTATTTATTTTACATATTTTTTGGTGCTAAATGTAGTCTTTTTGTTGTTGGTAAATGTAGGTTATCAATAAAAATCAAAACTTTTAAATTGCATTGTTAAAAATGTGAAAATATAGTATCGCCTACCAACTGAGCTTGTGCACACGGCACGCTTGAGCGCATCTGTCTGAGGCTGTGGATCAATGCCAAGTTTTACCACTTTATCACTATTCCCTCTAACTTGTAGCTGTTTTTTCGTCATCTTTTGAATTTAATATGAATTATGGAACCGTTTTTGTCAACATTTGTTTCCCCTGTTTTGTACAA